ATACAGTACATATGTAATGTAACATATATAATAAAACATATACAGTATAATAAAAACAATAAATAAATGAAAGCAATGCAAATGTATACTAGTGACTCATGTTATCAGAAGTTTACCTAGTGTTTTTGTTCACACAGTGGATATCTGACTCCTGCACTGAAGCTCTCATGCTGTACGTTTGACATCAGAGACTGATTTAAATGTAAAACCTCAGGTTGAGCTCTGGAATAACAGTGTCAAAAGAGGGTAGGATTTGTATTATCCCTCTTTTAAAATCGCAAAGGACACTAAAGAAACGTCTCTTGTCGGAGTGCAGAAATGAAAGACTGTAACGTAATCGGAATTTAATTCCTTTCAAGTTTTGCCTCTTTTTTCCCCCCCTGGACTCTCGGAAGTTCTAGTTTCATTTCTCACTGCATTTCTGAGCCTTCAAAGCTCTTGTTTCTATCTTTTTGCTCACTGAGTCAGCAAAAGCATTGCCAGTACATAACAGCAGCACATCAGCTCTTACACACACACACACACACACACACACACACACACACACACACACACACAGGAGGCTGAGACCTCAGTGGCTCTCGATCCACTTTTATTTTCCATTTGAAAAAGAATTCTGGCTGCATATGTACATTATACACTTCTGATATTTACATCATAGCAGATTTTTTTTCTAGATCAGTGTGCAAATACATCGAATATTCGTGAAGCTGTACATTCCAAAATATCTCCAAGAAACTAATCGCTTCCGCAGCTTTTTCAAACCTTGAGTATTTTCACACCAAATACTCAAATCTTAATTTGTATTTTCTTCACAGTGTCTTGATTGTAGTCTCATTCTGGTGAGTAATTATCCTTATACAACTAAAGCAAAGGTTTATACCATGTCCCAACCAGCAGATTTCCAGCAAAAAGCTAAATTGCTCTATGTTGCGACACAATTACCCAGTCATAATGTTTTTATGTTTAAAAGAGTGCTGCAGGAATTATGTATTTTTATAGGCCAGCCTGGAAGTCAGCACCACCCTGGATCCCTCAGCAAAAACCCAATAGGATTTTTACATTGGCTTTTGGATTATTGCAGAAAATAAGCTCTGTGACCAACAAAGGTTTATGATTCTTACATGTTTTGTTCTTCATGATGTGTTAATTACAAAATATAAATACAATCATCAAAATTAACCATGCTGAAAAAAAAAATAATAATACAAATTAATACCAGCCTATGCTGGTTGGCTGGTCTTAGCTAGTTTAAGATGGTCAAGCTATATGGTCTCCCAGCCTGACTTAGCTGATATCCAGCTGATTTTAGCTGGTTTGTCAGCTGGTCTCCCAGCCTGACCAGCTAAAGAAGTGGTCAAAACTCCTCTAAAACCAGCCTGCTAAACCAGCTATGACCAGGATGGAAGACCAGTTTAAAACAGCTTTCAGACTGTTTCAGGGAAATAACATAACTATAAATGAACTACACCGCAGTTACATGATTCCAGTGCTACCACCATTAAGCTTCAGATTCTTTCAGTCTTCATTTAAAAAACATGTTCCCCGAAAAAACAAACAATGGAAATGTAAGTGAAAAATGCTAACTTGTTTCCAGGTTTTAGGACTCATTCTTGCAGTACTCAATGTACAGTTTTGAGGAGCAGGAATTTGGACCAATGAAATGTCATTGTGGGCGGGGTTACTCAGCATGACACCACAAAAAATAGAACTCATAACACCTACAAAATGTCTCTTGTTGTGAGAAAGCGAGCAGAGACCTTTAGCAGTTTATCGCATCATGCCTGGTTAGGACACAGTGTTTGGGAAACCATAATTTGACATTAGCGCTGCTTCATTTGTGCAAATCTTAAAAAAAAAAAAAAAAAGAATGAAAGAGAAAGAAATTGCAGCCAGCCGGTTCCCACCTCTCTTACTCCACAGATCCATTGTCGAGGGAAGAATGGAGATGTGTTACATGGAAGAGAGAAAGTTGAAATCAGAGCGCTTTTCAGCAAAGCACCAGGGAGATAGCTACACAGCTGAGGCTCAAAGCAGAAAGGGTGACCTGGGATATTGTGGTTCAGGCTTCAGTGTTCAGTCAGGGGGATATAAAAGGGCAGCACAGCGCTTACTCTGATTGAACCAACTGCTCTGTGTAACTATCTCTCAGGTCTGTCATTCCCCCTGGGCGAAAAACACACCAGCTCAGCACTGAGAACATACAACAAGCGCCGCACGGCCAGAGAGGTGTGCGGAGGGAGGGCTGGAACACGGCAAGGGATGTGTATTAAGACTGTGTTTATTGATTTATTGGCTGCATTGATTGTCGAAGTTGTTAAATAGCTCAGAGACACAGCAGACAGACTGGATGGAGGGGGAATTCGAAAACCATGTGAATGCGAAAGCAATGTTGAATGGGCAATGACACCCTGTTAATTTCTTATCAAACAAGCCAGATTCATGTAAACCACATTTCTGTTTTTACAAAGAATACCGTGGAATACGTAAACTTGGAAAGTGACTTAAGTTCATTCTGTCCTGAATGTTTGTAATCAATTAATGACAGAAAAAAAATCTATTCTAAATGCGAGGCTAGTGAGATTTGATTTATCTCAGTTTTGCATCCTGAGGGTTTACTTTAAATGCCATAGCACAAATATAATTAATGTTTTCTTAAAATTATCCAATGGTCTGTTTCATTTAATCACTGCTTGCTATTCAAGTAACGGTCTTTTCAACTGAGACTTGGAGTCATGTGGTTTAAATTATCAGATAGCACAACACAGACTTAAATTGCCAAATAAATAAGTGGTATTATAGAGTAGTTTTAGGCATGAATAGGTCATGCAACTGTGCTTTGCATAATATTTAAATGACAACACCATCTGAGAAGAAGGCAATTGAGCAAAATTGCTTTGGGTTATGAATGGCCAAGACTTACACATTGCCAGATTAATACTGAAAAGCATTTGGCGCTCCGAATCAAGTGCACAATATATGCTCAGTATATAACAAAATTCTCACCTAACAGAGTGTATTTATGAAAACAACATGGCATTTTTGGTAAAAAATAAAGCATTTAGCATCAAGATCAATGCAGTAATCCCAAAAATATAATTTCCATTGGTTCTCTAACATGAACCTGAAATGTATCCATCAGGTGAGTTGCACATTGAAAAAGCTCGCTTCCTTTATGATTTTCACAGGCATCTATCTCATTTATAATATCCCATTTGTCTATAAGGACAGAGGACTTCGTTACAGCAGATGGTTGGTAACTCCCTGCTGCTCCCTCTGTCAGCATTGCTGCTACACTCATTATCATGTTGCTGTATCACTATGCTAGCGACTGCTTTAAAAAAAAAATGTGGAGGGTTAAACCCAGGAATGGAGCATATGTGCAACACTTTGGATTTTTCTGAAATAAGCTTTGAGTGTGATAATGACAGTTTTACTGGCTGTGATCAACTCACATAAGAGATGGGATCACTCGTGAGGTTGTGATTAACGATGTTGCACAGTGTCAGAAATTATATAACAAATACTAGATACTGCTAAATCACTCACATACCATATCACACATCATTTAGACCTGATATTCCTTGAATCCACACTCGCACAATGAAAATAATTCTGCAGTTCCGGTACTGTGAAGTTATACATACTGTATGTAACCTTGATACTGTAATGTATATACCATCGTAATGAATGATTACCATATTAATAGTCCAAGACACCTCAAAGAAAACCATGGTAGTAGGTTGGTAGATGTCTAAAAGTCTGTTTTATTACCATGTATAGTACACAACCATTCAAAAGTATGGGGTCAATGAGACCCC